CTTCATACACTGTGGCCCATTAACATAGATTTACAACAATTGTTTTATGCATTTCCCCTTCAAATCATATCAGAAAAGAAAAAGGAGTTACAAGCCAAAAATACGTTAATACTAGCTTTTATATTTGCCTATGTACTTACCTTTACTAGTCTTTTATGCTTCAAGATACTGTCTAGTGTCCTCTCACTTAAGCCTGGAGGACTCCCTTGAGTACCTCTTGTAGGGCAGGTGTACTAGCAACAAATTCCCTCAACTTTTATTTATATGGGCATATCTTAATTTCTCCTTTATTTTTGAATGGTAAATTTTGGAGGATAATTTCAAATTTGAAGGATACTGTATTCATTTCTTGGGATTGCCACTTGGGTAGCTTAGAACAACATAAATTTATTGTCTTTCAGTTATGGAGGCCAGAAGTCTGAAATTAAGATGTTGGCAGGACCCTGCTGCCTCTAAAGGTGCTGAGTAATGACTGTTTGGGGCTTCTCTTCTAGCTTCTCATAGCTTCAGTCATTCCTCGGCTTGTCTTGCATTCCTATCTTCTTCCTGTCTCTCTTCAAATTGTCTCTATATATGCCTCTATATATGTCTGTCCCTGTGTCAAATTTCTCCTTTTTATAAAGCCACTAGTCATTTTGCATTAGGGCCCACTCTGATAACCTCATCTTAACTCAACCATCTGCAAAGACCTTATGTCCAAATAAAGTCATATTCATAAGTACTGGGGGTTAGGACATCAACATATAGTAGGGGGTATATAATTAAACTCATAACAGGTAGCAAATTCAAAGGATAGAATTCTTGGTTGACAGTTGTTTTTTTCCTTCAAGGACTTTAACTATACCATTCCACTCCCTTGGGACTCCAGGGCTTCTGATGAGAAACTGGCTGTTAATCTCATAAAGGGTCCCTAGTACAAGATGAGTTGCTTCTCTCTTACAGCTTTCAAGACCTTCTCCTTGTCTTTGAACAGTTTGATTATAATGTGTCTCAGTATAGATCACTTTGAGTATTCATCCTACTTGGTGCTTTTTGGATGTGTAGTCTCATATCTTTTACCAAATTTGGGGGGGGGTTGCCCATTATTTCTTTGAATATTCTTTATGCCCCTTTCTCTCCTCTCTTTTTGGAACTCTACCTGTGTTAGTATGCTTGATTGTGTCCCACAGGTCTCTTAGGTTCTGTTCATTTTTTCCTTCATTCTTTTTTCTTTCTGTTCTTCAAACTGAATAATCTCAATCAACCAATCTTCATGTTCACTGATTCATTCTTCTGCCTGCTCAAATCTACTGTTAAACAACTCTAGTGAAATTTTCATTTCAGTGGTATTACTTTTCAGCTCCAGAATTTCTATTTGGTTTCTTTTTTAACTTCTCTTTACTGACATTGTCTATTTGTTAATGGATTGTTCTCCTGGTTTCTTTTAGTTCTTTGAGCATTTTAAAGACATGATTTAAACTCTTCATCTAGTAAGTCTAATATCTGGGCTTCCTCAAGAATAGTCTCTATTAATATTTTTTTCCTGTGAATGGGCCACACTTCTTTCTTTGTATGCTTTATAATTCTTTGAAAACTAGGCATTTTGAATATTGTAACATAGTTACTCTGGAAACCACACTGCTTCTACTCCCCAGGGTTTGTTGTTGCTGCTTGTTGTGAGCTGTTTATATTTAATAATTTTTCCTAAACTATGTTTTGAAAGACTGTATTCTTTCTCTTGTGTGGCCGCTGAAGTCTGTTTTTCATTAGCTTACTAGTCAGTTGCAATTTGATGGCAGTTTCCTTATATATCTGGAAACAAGTCTTTGCAGATTGGCTCTGTGTTGGGGCACTCCTTCAACACTCTCAGTTTTCATTCGCTGCTTGTGCAGAGCCTAGAGGTCAGTCAAAGGTGAAAGCTTAGGGTTTTTTCTGTGCCTGTGTCCAGCCCTGGGCGTGCGCAGTCCTCCTAGATTCCCTGGTATATGTGGGACCTTTTCAAAGCTCTTATTCCCCCATGCATCTCCTTCCCAAGCCTCTTCCTTCCCAAACTTCTTGTCTGTCTACTGCTTGGGAAACCTTGCCCCTGGTGGCTGTATTTAGTACATATGCTTTTAAATGCTTTTGACAAATGCTATCTAGTAGGCTGCTTGTCTGAGAAAACTCTGAGGCAGGTGCAACAAAGGCAAGTCCCTGGCCAATCCCTTAGGAAGCCACCAGACAGGTCAAACACACAACCATAATTCTTTGGGAACAAGGTTGGTATTGTTCCCTCTCCCACCAGTGAGGAATGTGGTCAGGAATGTGGGCTGTCTTCTTGGCCACTGACAAGCTGGGGAGTGAGGGAAGCAGGCAGTTTAAGTTAAAATGCCACAACTTTCTCTTACCAAAATTCAGTAGCATTTTTATTCAATAAGTATTCTCTTGGTTTTTTTTTTTAATTAGATTCCAGAGTTCTGAAAAAGTTGATTCTGATAGTTTTTGAGAGCTTAACCATTGCTTTAGTGGAAGGACAGAGATTTGGAGTTCCCTACTCTGCCATTTTAAGTGATGCTACTTTCATTAAATCTGGGGGGTTCTTGGTCACTATCACTTTGCATATTTCTTCTCCCTTCTCTTGAGTGTCTTCTTCCAGAACACCTATTAGGCTTATGAAGGACTTCTTATTCCTATTCTATGTTTCAACTTCTCTCTTTGATATTTTCTCTATCTCTCAGTACTATATGCTGGTAACTTCCCCATATCCTTCAGTTCACTAATTCTCCAGCTTTTGTCTGATATGCTCTTTTACCCATTTATTGACATTTTTATTTCAATGACTATCTGATTCTAGACATTATACCTTGTACTTAAAAAAATCTATTCTATCCTCATAATGTTTTATTCTTTTCTTAAGGCCTTTATTTATGTCTTTATAATTTAAGTATATTTCAAATTATTTGCAGAAGCTCTTCTATGATTGCATATTCTCAGGGTTCTAATCCTCCCATTTGCTATGTTTGCTGGCTCCTGATTCTTAGTCACAGGATTTTAGAATCAGGTGTTTTGCAGTTCTGAACTGTGATTTCATTTTTGACAACCCCCTCCCCCTCAACATACGCACACCCCTGCACCTACCTTGTGAGAATCTCTTTATGCTTTGATTATGATTTTGCATTTGTTTCTGTCAGGAGTCCCATGGATTTCTCCAGAATACTATCAAATTGGGATCAATTTTTATGCCAATTCTCAGGCATTCAGTTTTTTAGGCTTCATGAAGGTTTCTAGGCTGAAGGTAGGAAAAACTTAAACCAAATCTGTACAAAGTGTAGGCTCAAGGTTCCTATTTCTCATGGTGGTCTTTTTTGTTTTTCTCCACTCAAAACTTGTGCAGAGATGAACATGCTTTCTTGTTCTTCTGTGTAGGAGAAAAGTGTGTTCTGCCTTTTCCCTTAGGGTGCAGTCTTTGCAGGGTGCTGGCCTTATGCAGGGTTCTCAGTTCTAAATCCCCACTTTGCTTGAGACCAAAGCCTCATCTCCTAACTTGAGAGTGCATGAAAATTCACATTCTAAGTTTCTGGGTCATTCCCACCCACACAGAAGCACCTGATTTGATCACTGCTTCTGTCTTCCACTTTTGGCACCAGAGTTTCCCTCCTTTTTTTTTTTTTTTTGCCAGTTTGGCCATTCAGTTAAAGCAATAGCTTTTACATTTCCCCTAGTAGTTTTAGGTAAGTGCAGCAGGAGGATTTTCAGGGTTACCTGATTTTTCATCTTGCTGGAACTAAAAGTATCTTCTCAAGCACCTTGGCTGGGAACATGTCCCTTGCCTGTCCCTTTACTTTGTCCTCTGCTTATTCCTTTCCCAAGAGTCTTATACAGTCCTCCTCTCCTTTCTTCTGATATTGGTAGTCCTCATCCACCCAACTGAGACCTATCAATCCCTGGACCCTAATAACTTTAATAAGGAGGCAGGACAGAATGTAGTCAGGGACTCAGACTCAACTGACTATGCCAAGTTTGAATCCTTTTTCTGCCATGTACTACCTGAGTTACCTGGGGGCAAGTTACTTGGCCATGCTGAACCCACTTCATACACAAAGTGAGAGAAACAGTGAGCACAGGGCTCTAGGGGCATGCTGGGAATGTGCAATGAGTAAGCACAGGGCCTTAGATTAGTTGGAAGTTAGGCAGGTATGCTTTGTGATTACACAGGTAATGAGAAGGGGTTCAGGTCCATGAGTTCTCAGGCACAGAGTCAAGCACTCTACTTTTACCCCTCAAGAAAAATCCCACACAAGATTTTTAACTGTCTTCATGTTATAGATGAGGAAACAGAGTCTGGGAATGGTTGGGTAACTTGCCCAGCTCAGTCCCATTCCAGTGGATTACTGCTTTGGGCTGAACATCCTTCTGGGTTTAACATCCCACACAGGGATAGTCAGTGGCGATCTGAGGCTGCTTTAGAAGTGATTTTTAAAAAAAATTCTCATTTTATTTTACTCATTTTTTTTCTTATTTGTTTGGAGGTGTGGGAGGAGGTAATTAGGTTTGTTTATTTATTTATTTATTTTTAATGGCAGTACTGGGGGTGACCCTAGAACCTCACGCATGCTAAGCACATACTCTACCACTGAGTTGTCCCCTCCCCCACCACTCATTTTTCCTTTGAATCCTGGGGATGGGGTACCTTCAGGGTGATCTTTCCAGTCAGGTGTGATCTGGCACAGAGGTTGGAAGGGACTACTGGTTGCTACACCTCTCCTGTGCCCAAGGAAAGCAAAATCTCAGGGAAACAAAGGCTCTTCCTTTAACTACCAGGTAAGAAAGAGGCCCCCCTGCCCTCAAGCTGGGCTTTTGGGAGGAGTTTTCTACCGAATTTTAGCTGGCCCTGCTCTGGCCCACCCAAAGGTGCTGAGCCCATGCCCAGGGCACAAATAAGGGATGTGAGGCCTATCTCTCTGTTCAGTCACTTTCCAGGTGTTAAGACACGTGCATGAACGCACACCAGCTGCAGGCATTCCCCACCACCCCTCACTTACAGAAATGGGCCACAGGATGAAGGACATGTATCTCTGGATGGCGAAGGTGTAGACAATGATGAAGAAGCAGAAGATGGACAACTCCATGGTGATGATGAGTGTCAGGAGAGGGTGCACAGTGGTGCCGGTGAACATTATCAGCGAACCTATTAGGCAGCCCTGCTGGGAGACAGGCGCCTGAGCCACTGCCAAGGCTCAGGCTCTCTGGAGCCCCTCTGGAGCCCCTTGGAGCACGTTCCTTTTCCTCTTCCCGTCCTTGGGCCCCTGCCCAGGGACACAAGCCCAACTTACCAAGCTCAGGATCTTGACCTCAGCGTGGCCCATAACCCAGAACTCTCTGTTGCTGTCCTTGAATTCCCACCTGTAGCGGCGACATCCTTTCCTCGTTCCCACCTCATCCTTGGGCTGCACCGACTTCGGCTTCTCCTCTTTCTTTTCCTCGGTCTTGGCCGCCGCCGGTGCGGTCCCTGGGGCAGGTGCTGGCCCGGGTTTGCCCTTTTTGCCTTTGTCAGCCATGTTGGCGTGGGAGTCCTCAGCTTCTCACGGCCTGCCCAGTTTCTCCTGCTGTCCCCGGACAGGCCTGGCCTTTGAGCGAGCCTGATGTCCACCGACCTGCTTAGAGGCGGCGCTCAACCAACCGCCAGGACCGCGAACGCCAACGTCTGGCGCCCTCGCCGCCAGCACATCTCGTCGCGCGCCACATCTTGCCCGCGCGGGGGGGGGGTGTCGCGCGAGGACCCGCGGGGACC